TTTGCTTTCTGTAATTAAACCATTATGTAGAAAACTTTGTATATACAGGACAGACAAACACTGCAATTCTTAACATATAATAGCCTTAAGTCAGAGCCAAGATGTTTCTTTTTTCCTAAGATTTATTTTGTACACGTGAATGCAGGCGCCTTTCACACCTATAGGCTTTGGATTCCCTGGAGCTGAAGTTTCAGGCAGAAGTGAGCTGGCCAACATGGGTTCTGAGAATCAAATTTAGGTCCTCTGGAAGAACAGTATCTGCTCTTAAACACGGAGCCATCTCTCTAGTCCCCCATGGTGTTTTCGGGCAGTATTTTTTGACAGTGCCAGGCATGGTAGCACACACAGTGTAAGTGTACATCTCTTTAGAACCAAGGCTGCAGTGAGGTTGAGCGTGTAACTCCCAATGAGTGCTGCAAGAAGCATTTTGGATTCATCATGCATTGGATTTTTTATTAATTTAAGGGCATTGCTTATTTGGAAACCTTCAAAAACCAGATTTTTCATGGCCTCTCACATTCAGTTACATGGACCCACAGTTTAAGAAGTGTTAGTTTATCATCCACATTGTCCCCTTCTTTCCAGTGGTCCTGAGTGTTTCCTATTTCCAAAATCAGGCTCCTGACATAGGGTCAGACAAAGCAGCTATGGAGAAGCCTCATTCTATTCTTTTGACTCCTTTCTCCAACCTTTGTTTTCATACCTGTCTGTAGAAATTACTTCTAGCTGGGGGTGGTGGCACATGCCTGTAGTCCCAGCACTCTGGAGGCAGAGGCAGGTGGATCTCTGTGAGTTCAAGGCCTGGTCTGCGTAGCGAGTTCCAGGATAGCTGGGGCTACAGGGAGACCCTGTCTCAAAAAGACCAAAAAAAAAATTTAAAAAAATTCTTATGTATCATTTATTTCCTTTCAAACTTTGTAGGAGGATCATTCAGAAATAAAAATAAGTGATCCTACTGCATTAGAGAATCAGGAAAAGCAGGAAAACCAAGACTGCAGAACTTCTACCAAAGGTTCTCTGCCAGACCAGAACCCAAGAGATGAGAGTGCAGTTTCCTCTGGAAAAAGCAAAGTAAATGGTATGCCAAACAACATTTTCAAAGTAAAACTGCTAGGGGAAGCATGTGCATTAGTTTCCTAGGTGTGCAAACTGGGCAGTTTAGAACAGAAATTGATTGCTGTATAGTTGAGGGGTGGGGGCTACAAAGCTAAAATCAAAGTGTAGATTATGCTTTTCTGAGACACTGAGCACCTTTGCATCTTCTACATTGTGATGGTTGTTTCTTAGCCTGGAGCCACATTGCTCTGCCCTTTGCCTCTATTAATACATGACATTTGTCTGCTTGTGTATTTATTTGACTTATTCTGAAAGAATCTCATATTGTAGCCCAGGCTGACCTCAAACTCATCACAATCTTCCTGCCTCAGCCCTAAAGAGAGCTGGGCTTGAACTGAAGAGATGACACAGTGGTTAAGAGCACTGGCAGCTCTTGCAGAGGACCCAGATTCAATTCCCAGCACCTACATGGTGACTAACAACCCACTGTAACCTAAGTTCCAGGGGAATTCGATGCCCTTTTCTGACCTCTCTGGGCGTTGCATGACACAGGTACACTTAACATACATGCAGGAAATATACTCATACACATAAAAATAATAAAATATACATTTTAAAAAAATACTGGGATTGGGCTAGAGAGATGGCTCAGTGGTTAAGAGCACTGGCTGTTCTTCCAGAGCACCCAGGTTTTGTTCCCAGCTCCCTCTTGGCAGCTAACACCTGTCCATAACTGCAGTTGCGGGGGATCCAATTCCCTCTCTGGCTTCCATGGGCATTATTCAATATGGGTGGACTTGCACACATGCAGGCAAAACACTCATACACATAGAAGAAAAATATTTTTTTAAAAGAGTACAAAGATCGATTATCTAAGTCTTCAAAGGACACTACTCATATTGGATTGCTACCTACCAAAACCTCAATTTGATTACAACTCTAAAGGCCCTATTCCAAAGTAAATTCTCATCATAGGTACTAGAATTTAGGAATTGAGCCTATCTTTGGAGGACCATAATTCACCCCATAGCAGCAGATAGAACTTCGACATATTTTCAATTAAAGAAAATCTAGAAACAAATACCAAAGACCATCCAGTCATATTTTAACTTTTTTTCCAGTATTGGGAATCAAGCGCAGAAACTTGAGCATGCTAGGCAAGTCATTGATCTACATCCTTAGCCTTAACCTTTATAGAAACTAGAGTAAGAGTAGTTTCTGGATAGTTTAGGAAGGTTAACCTCTCTTTGGTGACAAGAGAGCTCTTTATTTTTTCTCATTGGCCCCTCTACCTGACTCCAGAGACTGACAGAAAGGCTTGCTTGCTTTAACTAGGATATTTACAGGGAGCTGCAAAGCCTACATTTCTGCTGGTGTGATAAATATATATATATATATATATATATATATATCAGTAGTCAGACTCTCTTTCATCATTAGTCACTAACTTCCTAAAAACCTTTTCCGTAAATTTTCTCAGCTAAGTTTTAGAAAACTAGAAAATTCAGTTGTTCTAGCCCTAACAAGCACTTCATGCTCTCTGTTTTTTTTCCCTCAGAAAGCCTGCCAGTTGCTATAGGGTATTTCAGTATTAGGTTCCCTTGGCAAATCTGCCTGGGCTTTGAAACTTGAGAGGATTTGGAGAGGAGGGATTTGAGAAGTGATAACCCATTTCAGGGACTGCCAGGAGTGATTTAACTGTTGAATGTCACTCAGATTCCCCAATCATTAACATGTTACATTTGCCTTGATTTCTCCCTCATCTCCTTTATTCTCCTTAGTCTATCTCTGCCCATACACACACACACACACACACACACACTATATTATATATATATATATATAATGTTCTAGCTTCTTTTCAATTGTTGTGACAAAACATGCTGACCAATACCAACTTGGGGAGGAAGGGGTTTATTTGGCTTTATCCTTGGTCACAGTTCATCACTGAGGGAGCCCAAGGTAGGAACTCAGGGCAGGAACCTGGAGGCAGGAGCTGAAGCACAGGCCATGGCCAATGAGGAACGCTTAGTGGCTTGGTCCCCTGGCCCATGCTCAGCTGCTTTCTTATACAATACAATCAACGCGCCTAAGGGGTGGCATCACCCACTGTGGGCTGGGCCCTCCCACATCAGTCAACAATCAAGAATTTGCCCCGCAGACCACAGGCCAGTCAAATGGAGGCAACGCTCCAATTGAGGCTCCCTCTACTCAGGTGTGTCAAGTTGACAGTATATCCAGCACAATGTGTCACATACGTTTTTTATTTTTTCTTGAACTCTGAAAATAAGTTGCAGATGTGTACCTCCTTACTCCTAAATGTATATTTCTTACCTTTTGTCGGGGGGTTAGGGGGTTGGTTTTCTTTTAATATTTTTATTTTATATGTATGAGTGTATTACTTGCTTGTATGGAAGTTCACCTGTGTCATGCAGTGCCAGTGGAGGTCAGAAAAGTGCATTGGATCCCCTGGAACTAGAGTTACAAATGGTTGTTAGCTGCCATGTGGGTACTGGGAACCAAACGTGGGTCCCCTGGAAGAGCAGCCAATGCTCTTAACAGCTGAATCATCTCTCCAGCCCCAGGGATTGTTTTTTGAGGCAGGATTTCATATAGTTCAGATTGGCCTCAAACTTACTATGTAGCTGAGAATGTTTTTAAACCCCTCATCCTGGCTGGATCTCTCAAGTGCTGGGATTACAGGCATGTGCCACCACTCCTGGCTTCCTGAATGTGTATTTCTTAAATAAGAGCTTTCTCATTGGGCATGGCGCATACCTTTAATACCAGCACTGGGGAGACTGAAGCAGGCCTATCTCTGAGTTCTAGGCCAGCCTGGGCTACATTGTGAGACCCTGTCTCAAAAAAACAAAGAGAGCTGGGTGTGGTGGTGCATGCCTTTAATCTCAAAACTTGGGAGGCAGAGCAGGCAGGTAGTTCGAAGCCAGCCTGGTCTACATAGTGAGTTCCAGGCCAGTTGGTGCTATAGGGAGACCCTGTCTCAAAAATACCAAAAAAACCCAAAACCAACAAACAAAAACCAAAAAAAGCTTTCTCACACAGATGTACAGAGCACAAAAGTCCTTTCATATTCTGTCTTGCAAGTAACCTTTAAGAAAATGCCACTTAGTATAGTAGTGCAAAGAATACTATAATTATCTGAATAGGCTGTTGAAATAGTTTGATTTTTCAGTTATATATCTCTGAGAGGCAAGGTAAATTACGTATCACAACACATTGCATGTAGAAGTACATAAAACAATTTCACTGAGGGGGATGGAGAGATGGGGCTCAGCATTTGAAAGCACTGGCTGCTCTTGCAGAGGACCCAGGTTTGATTCCCAGTACCCACATGGCAGCTAACAACTGTCTGTAACTCCAGTTCCAAGGGATATGATACCGTCGTCTGACCTCTGATGGCCATTGCATGGCATGGGTACACTTACATAAATGCAGGCAATACATTCATACACCTAAAATAATAATAATATATATATATATATTCACTGCCTTTGTTTGCTTGTTTTTGTCTTTGTTGTACTAAGGATAGAACCCAGGGCCTTGCACATACTAGGCAAGTGTTCAACTACTGAGCTCCATCCTTAACCAAAGACCAATATTAGCAGTTTTTAAATCTTTGCTTATTTAAGTCAACAGAGTTTAATGGAAACAAGAGTTTATCATTCATTTTGTATTTGTGAATTTAGGCAATGAAGATTCAAAGGAACCTTCAGAAAAAAGATCTCTGTGCACAGATGGGCTTTCCAAACTTGGGAACAATAAAAGAACTGCCGCCACTACACCAAACTTTAAGAGGCTTCATGGGGCTCATTTTAAGAAAATGGAATCCACTGATGAATATGTTGTGAGAAAAACGAAGCACTTTA